CACCAAACCATATATTTTTGGAAAGTAGACACCCTAGGGTATTTCAAATGGTGGTTTTTAACACTTTCCATGCACTAATTCTACCACCAGACTTTGTCAAACATTTAGGTAGTCATTTTTTGTGTGTTTTTTTTCACACACATTGTACTTTAGGCATGAATTAACAAATCGTGTTATGTGTCACCGCCAAACAACATGCCAATATGTGTTCAGCAACATCTCCTGAGTACAGTGATACCACCCATGCATAGGCTTGTCGGATTGTTTGGGGGCTAAAAGGCCACATTTGGCAGGTGCGCATATCCATTTTTCAACTTGGAATTTTGACATGTAGTCAACCGGCGCACATGTCCTATTTGGGACATTTGTAAGGCCGGCCAATGTATTTTACCCCCACCAAACCATATATTTTTGGAAAGTAGACACCCTAGGGTATTTCAAATGGTGGTTTTTTAACACTTTCCATGCACTAATTCTACCACCAGACTTTGTCAAACATTTAGGTAGTCATTTTTTGTGTGTTTTTTTTCACACACGTACTTTAGGCATGAATTAACAAATCGTGTTATGTGTCACTGCCAAACAACATGCCAATATGTGTTCAGCAACATCTCCTGAGTACAGTGATACCACCCATGCATAGGCTTGTCGGATTGTTTGGGGGCTAGAAGGCCACATTTGGCAGGTGCGCATATCCATTTTTCAACTTGGAATTTTGACATGTAGTCAACCTGCGCACATGTCCTATTTGGGACATTTGTAAGGCCAGCCAATGTATTTTACCCCCACCAAACCATATATTTTTGGAAAGTAGACACCCTAGGGTATTTCAAATGGTGTTTTTTTAACACTTTCCATGCACTAATTCTACCACCAGACTTTGTCAAACATTTAGGTAGTCATTTTTGTGTGTTTTTTTCACACACATTGTACTTTAGGCATGAATTAACAAATCGTGTTATGTGTCACTGCCAAACAACACGCCAATATGTGTTCAGCAATATCTCCTGAGTACAGTGATACCACCCATGCATAGGCTTGTCGGATTGTTTGGGGGCTAAAAGGCCACATTTGGCAGGTGCACATATCCATTTTTCAACTTGGAATTTTGACATGTAGTAAACCAGCGCCCCTGTCCTATTTGGGCCAATGTATTTTACCCCCATCAAACCATATATTTTTGAAAAGTAGACAACTCAGGGTATTTTAAATGGTGGTAGTTTAATACTTTTCATGCAATAATTCTACCACCAGCCTTTGGCAAACTTTTGGGTAGTAATTTTCTTCATGTTTTTTACACATACATTGTACTTTAGGCATGAATTAACAGATCCTGTTATGTATCACTGCCAAACAACACCCCAATATGTGTTCAGCAACATCTCCTGAGTACAGTGACATCACCCTTGCATAGGTTTGCTGGGTTGTTTGGGGGCTAAAAGGCCACATTCAAGACTTGTACATATCAGTTCTTCAACTTGATATATAGGTATGCTTGGCCTATCTTCAGTTTGGCATATTTTTGCATCCCCCCGTTAATGTTAACATCATGAAAGTTTATATTTTTATAAAGTAGACATTCCAGAGTATTGTATATGAGGTGTTTTCACATCCTTCCCCCAACCATTGTGCTAAACAAATTTCAGAGAACGTGCATGGTGGTAAATTTTTAATTCTGCTTTTTATGCACACGCCATCTGGTTTTGGCCAGCCAGTTATATGTTACTACCATAAAACTTTTTTAACCAAATGTGCAGGTATCAAATGCACCTTTAGCAGTATTCTCTAAACTAACTCCTGCAAAAAGAATCTAATTGGAGATTTGGGGGGAAGGAAACTGACTAACTAAAATTTGCTGCTTTCAAAAGAAAAAAAAACAGTGCAAAGGGGTGTCTGTCCTTTTCCTTTTTTTATAACAGACCCAGCAACATTTCAGGGGATTTGTTTGTTTTTTTTGCAGTTGGCGGTATCTTAAAAATAAAATGTCTGGACTCCTTTGGCACCGTTGTTGGAACTTGACCATCTCCATAAATTATTGTGGAAATCAGCTTGAACTAAAATTGGAGAAAGGTGGTTCTTTCTGGATTCATTTTTTTTTAAAGAGTAAAAATTAATTATGTGTTGCTATTTGCATCAGGTAGATAGCCACCTTTTTATACCAGGCTTTTGTCTTTCTTAAGATAAGATATGGCTGCATCAGCTGATCAGCCAAATCAACACCCCCTATGTGCCTGTTATAAGCCCTGATGCACACCGGTTTTGTCTGTACCCTGCCTCGGACAGTGACGTCTGACATGCCCTCGTTATGGATGGTTGTTAGCATGTGAACATCCTTCCTGTCCTTAAATTTTATTGCAAGCACTTTAGTTTTGTGCAGACCTTTACATTCACTTTTTTTTTTTATTTGGCCTCTATAAAAGGTCTGGGGAAATCCTTGGCATATCTTCTCACACTGCCACAGGCCAGTATCTAGAAACCCTAAAGAGTTTGAAACAAACGGACAATGCTATAAAAATTGTCCACATAAAGGTGGTAACCCTTATTGAACAAGGGGATCAGTAAGTCAAAAACAAGTTTCCCGCTTGTCCCCAGAGAGTCAGTACAGCCAGGAGGGTCCAGTTGACCATCTTTCCCCTCATATATATGAAAGGCAAATGTATAGCCACTTTCGCTTTCGCACAGTTTGTAGCATTTTACGCCATACCTAAAGCGCTTTGAGAGGATGTATTGTTTTAATCCTAATCTCCCTTTATATTTCATTAACGATTCATCAATAGATACATTTTTTTGAGGAGTATAAACTTCAGTAAATTTGTGCTGAAGATGGTCTACCAGTGGGTGTATTTTATGAAGCCTATCATATTGGGTGTGATCTCTGGGGTGACAGAGGGTATTGTCATTGAAATGTAAGTATCTCAGCAGCAGCTCAAATCTTGTTCTAGACATGGTTTGAGAGTACACTCGACTAGAACAGATTGGGTTGGTGCTCCAGTAAGAGCAAATTGATGGCTTCTTTATAATCCCCATGAGAATTGTAAGAGCCCAGAATTTTTAAGTTCAGCGACATCTGTGGGATGCCAAGCACACTCCTCCCTGACTGCATAGCTATCTGGATTGGTATCAATAAATTGGGTAGCATATAAATTAGTCTGGGGAGCAATCTCCTCCCACATGGTATCCCCTAAAAATAGCTCCATATATTGCATAGGGAGAAGTCATCCACATTGACATTAATGCCTGTGTTGGCACTAAAAGGGGTGATTTGGGGCTCAGCTAACTGTGGAGAAACCTGTTCCTCCTCCACATTCGGCGTAGCAGAGAAAGCACAGCTTCTTTTTGCAGCCAGCTCACACACAGATGACATGTCAGAAAACTGACCTGGGTCAAAATCGGACGCAGTGTCAGTGGCGTCAGAGTCTGGCTAACACAGAGTTACTAACACACAATTTTTTTTTATTTTATACTAAAAACAGACTAAAACTGATAAAAACAGACTAAATGAGACTAAAACTTCTGTTAGCAGCAATCTGTAAACTAACTCCTGCAAAAAGAATCTAACTGGAGATTTGGGGGAAGGATACTGACTAACAGAAATTTGCTGCTTTCAAAATAAACAAAAAAAATAAATCAGGAACAAGTATTATAAAAATGTATTTTCTGTGTGGTAGACCTTAAAACATGCTCCAATACACAGTCCAGGTTTTGTAGGGCAATCGGGACAGTGAAAAGGGGTGTCTGTCCTTTTCCCTTTTTTATAACAGACCCGGCAACGTTTCTGGGGGTTTCTTTTTTTTGGTGTTGGCGGTATCTTAAAAATAAAATGTCTAGACGACTCTTGCACTGTCGTTGGAACTTGACCATCTCCATAAATTATTGTGGAAATCAGCTTGAGCTGAAATTGGAGATAGGTGGTTCTTCCTGGATTCATTTTTTAAAAAATTAAAAATGAATTATGTGTTGCTACTTGCAACAGGTAGATAGCCACCTTTTTATACCAGGCTTTTGTCTTTCTTAAGATAAGATATGGCTGCATCAGCTGATCAGCCAAATCAACACCCCCCATGTGCCTGTTATAAGCCCTGATGCACACCGGTTTTGTCTGTACCCTGCCTCGGACAGTGACGTCTGACATGCCCTCGTTATGGATGGTTGTTAGCATGTGAACATCCTTCCTGTCCTTAAATTTTAGCGCAAGCAGTTCAGCCTTGCGCAGAGCTTTGCATTCCCCTTTTTTTAATTTGGCCTCTATGAGAGGTCTGGGGAAATCCTTGGCATTTCTTCTTACAGTGCCGCAGGCCAGTGTCTGTAAACTATAAAGAATTTTAAACAAGTGGACACTGCTGTAAAAATTGTCCACATAAAGGTGGTAACCCTTATTGAACAAAGGGATCAGTAGGTCCCAAACAAGTTTCCCACTTGTCCCCAGAGAGTCAGGACAGCCAGGAGGGTTCAGTTGAGCATCTTTCCCCTCGTATACACGAAAGGCAAATGTGTAGCCACTTTCGCTCTCGCAAAGTTTGTACACTTTAATGCCATACCTAGACCGCTTTGAGGGGATATATTGTTTGAACCCTAATCTCCCTTTGTATTTCATAAGGGATTCATCGATGGATAAAGTTTGTTGGGGAGTATAAACTTCAGAAAATCTGTTCTGAAGATGGTCTACCAGTGGGCGTATTTTATGAAGCCTATCATATTGGGGGTGATCTCTGGGGTGACAGAGCGTATTGTCGTTAAAATGTAAGTATCTGAGCAGCAGCTCATATCTTGGTCTAGGCATTGTTTGGGAGAATATAGGAGTCGAACAAATTGGGTTGGTGCTCCAGTAAGACCGGATTGATGGCTTCTTTATTATCCCCATGAGCATGGTAAGAGCCCAGAATGTTTTAAGTTCAGGGACTTCTGTGGGATGCCAAGCATGCTCCCTGACTGTATAGCTACCTGGATTGGTCTCAATAAATTGGCTAGCGTATAAATTAGTCTGGGAAGCAATCTCCTCCCAGATGGTATCCCCTAAAAATAACTCCATATATTGTATAGGGGAGAAGTCAACCACATTCACATTAATGCCTGCGTTGGCACTAAAAGGGGGGATGTTGGGCTCAGCTAACTGTGGAGGTACCCAGTCCTCCTCCACATTCAGCGTAGCAGGGGAAGCACAGCTTCTTTTAGCAGCTGGCTCACACACAGATGACATGTCACTAGACGTGCCGCTAAACTGACCTGGGTCAAAATCGGACGCAGTGTCAGTGGCGTCAGAGTCTGACGCCAAGAAGGCATATGCCTCCTCCAAGCTGTACATGCGCTGCATGTTTCACACTAACAGACTAAACTAACAAAATACTAAACACAATATTTTTTTTTTTTTTAACACTAAAACAGACTAAAACAGTAATCCCTAAACTAACTCCTGTTAGAAGAATCTAATGGAGATTTGGGGGAAGGAAACTGACTGACTACGACAGACTATGACAGACTATGACAGACTACAGACTAAAACAGACTAAAACAGACTACGACAGACTACGACAGTCTAAGACAGTCTAAGACAGTCTAAGACACAGATTTTTTAAAATAAAGTTAACCCTTAAGGGCAAAAAAAAAATACAGACAGTACAAATGCACTGTCTGTAACAGATCTGGCAGGGAAGGGGTTAAAAGGGATTTTTTATTAACTTCTGATACTTTATAATTTTCACAGGAACAGCTGCTGCAACAAACTATCAGGATCTCTGTCTCTCTCCTCTCACAAAACGCTACAGAGAGGAGAGAGGCAGAGATCAGTGTCAAAGTGAGTGTTTGTAACACCCACTTTGACACCAGCCAATTGTGAGCGATCGCGGATCGCTCACATGCCGTAATTGGCTGTTACTATCTGCCTGGGATGCCGGGCAGATAGTAACAATGGGATTTCGGCGGAAGCGATCTCTGATCGCTCCCGCCGCCCGTTTTCCGTTAGGACGGTTCAGGACCGTCCTCGGTCGGCAACGCAAAAATGCCGAGGACGGTCCTGAACGGTCATGCGTCCTTAAGGGGTTAAAACACGTAATTTGTAACCAAACATCTCCGTTCTTTAAACCCCCAGAGATTTAACACATAACTCACCAGAGTTAACTGAATAAAGAGGGACCCCTGACTGGTGTATTAAAAGACTACCTTGACATTTTGGACAAATACTTAAATAAACCCTGACTGCTTTAACTGGGCATAACGAATGATGTATAGCTCGTAACTGAACCCATTGACCTTTCCCTTGCTGGTCAGTTTTTGATTTTCTTAATAAAAATTTTCAAAACCCATCTTGTAATTGTACGTCCTTACATTGAATGCCTGAATGGCAAGACTTGTTAGCAAAAACTAATTCTCTGATTCTAAAAGCTCCAAAAAAATGCTAAAATAAAAGCAGTGGTAAAAAGCTGGATCTCAAATGTATTTCTACAAACAGAGCTCAAATTATTTACCAAATCACCCAATAATTGAAAAGAGATAGGGGACCTGTTATCTTGGACTGATGCTTTCTTTAACCAGGCCCATTTTAACATTTGCTGAATAATGAATTCTTTAAAAACAGACTTCTTCCCCAATACCTTAAGGAAAAAGGAAATGCCTAATAGGGCTCTTTTAAATGAAAACTTGGATGCACCAGCCTGAATTTTTTTAACCACACATTGAATTGCATCCTGTATAGTGGGATCGGTAGAGTCCCTATTTAAATTAACCATAAACTGCTGCCATTCTTCACACGCATTCAAGTATGCTCCCCAAGTGGTTGTAGATAACTATAAATCCAGCAACTGGCTTATCTGGGTGAGGTTAGCTCCCAGATGTGTTCTGGCAATCTCGTTCCAACTTCGTCCGCTAGAGGTGCAAGGGATATGACAGACTTGAAGTCAAAAGGGGACAAGGCATCAGCTACACGATTACTTTTCCCACTTACATGCTTCACTTTTACCCATATATTATTTACCAAACAAATAAAAACCAAACGTCTCAATAACTTGATCACCAGGATACATTTTGCCCTAAGAGAATTGATTATCCAAACCACCCGTAAGTTGTCACAATGAAAAGTAATCCTCCTGTTAGCTTGTTCAGAGCCCCAAACATCCAGGGCTACGACTATCGGAAATAGCTCCAAAAGAGTAATCATTCTTGTCCAACCATTCTCAACCCATGACTGGGGACAACCAGCAGCTGCCCATCTACCATGAAAGTATATACCAAAGCCTTGAGACCCAGCTGCATCCGTGAAAATATCCAAATCCCAAATGGATACAAAATCACTTTGCCAAATCATGGATCCATTAAAGTTGCATAAAAAGGCATTCCAAACATGTAAATCTTCCTTAATCTGTCTAGAAATTCTAACATGGTGATGCAAATTTTTAAAACCAGCTATAGCTCTTGACATATGTCTGGAAAAAGCCCTAGCCATTGGCATTATTCTTGACGCACAATTTAGTAAACCTAACACAGATTGCAATTTACTTACTGTCGTTTGCTTAACATGTAATAAATGAGAAATTTTGCGCTTCATTCTGACAATTTTATCTTCGGGCAAACAAAACTCCATTCGCTCAGAATCAATAATTATACCTAAAAATTATAAACATGTACCAGGCCAAACCGTCTTTTCTTTTGCCAACGGAATGCCAAATTATTGAGCAATGGACATGAAAATATGTAGTAAATGAAAGCAATCTGAAGATTCAGCTTTCCCAATAAAAAGAAAATCATCCAAATAATAAATAACTGGGGGCGTGGCCTGGACGAGCATGGTGCAGGACGCATAGTGCGAGAGCTCTGCACCCCTGGCCGGATAAATTAGCTATCAAAGCACGGTACGGAACGGCGATGGTGCGAACTAAGAAGCTCCTACCCTCGGGAGCAGCGGCAGCAAGCTCCCCTCACCGGAATACCGGTCCCATGGACGATTTTCTCTCTACTCCGTCCGACCTCTGCGGCACCCGCCATGTGGACAAGATGGCGCCCGGGTCCCCGGACTCGGAGATGACGGGGGACTCTCAGTCGGAACCCCCCCAAACAGGGGACCTGTCTCAAATTAGAATGGAGCTTACACAGATCTCCAGGAGGATGCTCACCAAGGCTGATACAGGCCCCATTGTGCAGGAACTCAGAGCAGCACTGAGGGAAGAGCTGGCAGGCCTGCGCACAGATCTGTCCACCCTGGAGCAGAGAGTGGATGAAATGGAGTCGGTGGCGAGGGGCTGTGATGACCAGCACAGAGCAACAGAAGTGGCAGTCACTAGGCAAGGTAACATGCTCCTTACCCTCCGGAGACAAGTGGAGGATTTGGAGAATAGAAGCAGACTCAATAATATCCGTGTCCGCGGCCTGCCTGAAAGGGCAGACAAGCTGCTCCCAGACACCCTGTCAGCGCTGTTTACACAGCTCCTCGGAGCTGCACTGACCACTACGCTCATCATAGACCGCGCTCACAGAGCCCTGGGGCCTGCGAGACAGGATGGCAGCCCCAGAGACGTAGTCTGCTGCATCACCGCCCCAGGCCTACGAGATAGAATTATGGCAACAGCCAGGGGCCTCCCATCCATACAGTTTCGAGGAACGGCGGTTTCATTGTACCAGGATCTCTCTAGCCTGACCCTAGATGCGAGGCGGGCATTGAGGCCGGTCACCAGTGCCCTGAGAGACAAGGGGATTCCTTATCGCTGGGGTTTCCCGTTCAGTATTCAGGCTAAACATGGGAATACCTGGATTACGGCCCGCTGGCCTGAAGACGTCCCAAGGTTCCAGAGGGCCCTGGGTCTAGCACCATCGAGAATACGAAATTGGATTTTGGACGAAGCGGCTGCTTCAAGAAGAGACCCACTGATGCCGCCGCTGGAGGCCGATGCAGCTACAGGTAGACAGCCCGAGCCGCTCAGGAGAGGTGGGCCGGACGGCCCAGAAGAATAGGACGCCATCACACAGGTCGGCTGGGGTTGGGGGGGTTGTCTGTCTTTGCTGGGGAATGCATCACCGGACTGATATTTAGGGAGGGGGGTTTGTGGACTGGGGGATACTCAGACTGACTCACAGGTCCGTGACTTTCCATAGCCGCTGCACATGGTACGGACAGGCCCTGCCAATGCTGTGCGCACATGCCAACAAGGGACTCTGTGTTATCTGGGCGAATCACGCGGCCAGGGACTCCTGCTTACACATTGGCCGGGGCTTTACTCTGGGTCACTCCACACCGATGGACTATGCTGGATCTTTGGGAGGGGAGAGGGGTCATGGCGGGACTTATGAGTCTCCTTCCCTCAGAAGGCGGCCGTACAGGGACCTAGTGTCTGGGGCCTTACCACCAAATCTCAAGCCTTGTGTTTTAATGTAGGATGTATTTTGGCCACGGCACTCACGCTTTGCCCACATAGCTGCACGATAGACCGGAGCCGAAGATTTGATCTGTCAGGGGCTAGGTGGGGACACAACTAGATGAGGGAGGTAGGGGATTAGGAGCACGGGTTAGTGAACCTGGGACGGCACATGTCCGAGGACAGCTCCCATGATAGGGGACCTTAGTCTGGCTGACACACACTCCTAGATCCTGAGTAACTGAGATAAGAGGGACCCAGGCCCAAACTAAGGTAGAAGACGACAAGAGGGGCCTAAACGCTCCTAATGGTTCCACGCCCTCCACCCTGCCAGAGTTCCACACCCATGGCCGTTGCCCCGACTCTGCCAGCGTTTAGCCATACTGCCGCTGACCCGCGAAGAAGTGACCGCAGACCACCTGTGACCGACAGCGCACAGGCCCCCCCCCCTCCTCGCCAGGCCACTGTGGAGGACTGAAAGTCGAAGAGACCGGGATCACACACTGGCCCTGGGCGGGCAGGGGTACCTTCCTACACTACAGCGACACCAGCGACCCCAGAGAGGACGGGCCGCCCCACCCCCCCCGGCCGGACTTGAACGACCGCGTCTGACCGAAATGACTGACTGAGACTGACAGCCATCACGCCTACCGACCTGCCTACATGCCCTCGGCCAGGGGGGCAGACGACTAGTGGTTTTGATTCACACACACCCACCTAACTGACACCCTCGGAGAGTACTGACGGCAACGAACTGACAAGCCCAACCTCCATAGTTAGAGAACACCCACACTGGACACGTGAGTTACATTGTGATCTAATCACCCAGACTGGGCGCTGTGCCGGTGCTCGCTTGGTCTAGTGCCCCGCGACAGACACCACATCTAAATTCGGTGGGAGACGGCGGTCCACCTCCTAGGAGTGGCCCGCGTGACTCATCCTCCCCCGGTGTCGAGTCTCTGAGACCCCTGAGAGGTCCATACTAGATCCTCTCCTTCTTTTCTACTCTCTCACCTGTTACCCCCTCCCCCCCCCCACACCTCCTTGGTCTGGAACAATGGGATCGGGATTCACTCCTGCGCCTCTCCACATCTGGTCAAATAACACCAGGGGCCTCAACGCGCCGGAGCGGAGATCGCATCTCTTGCGCTCCCTGTGGAACGAGAAGGTATCCATAGCATTCCTCCAGGAGACACACTTCCTGGGGGACAAGGGCCCATCGCTACGCGACTCACGTTTCCCACTGGGTTACTTTGCAAATCACCCTATGACAAAAAGGGCAGGAGTGGCGATCTTACTAGCCTGCACAGTCCCGTTCATCTGTACGGGGACTGAGTCGGACCCAATGGGACGCTTTATCTTCATCAAAGGCTCTATAGCGGAATGCATATACACCTTTGCCTGCGTATATGCCCCGAACATACACCAACGCAAATTCCTCAGACAGACGCTGACCAGGCTGGAGAGGTTCCGCGAGGGCTTTCTAATAATGGCCGGGGACCTGAATGTCGCCCTGGAACCGGGAACGGACACATCCAGAGGAGTGAGCGCGTTTTCACCGCATGGCTTAAGGTCCATCAGAAATGGGCTACGGGACGCCGGCCTGGTGGACGCCTGGAGGGTGCTTCACCCCTGCGACACAGATTTTACCTATTACTCTACAGTCCACAAACGATATAGCAGACTAGATTATGTGTTCCTGGCCCAGGAGCTCTTACCCATGCTCCTTTCGGCAGACATACGCCCCATGGGATGGTCAGACCACTCACCGGTATCTGTACAAATTCGATCCCCACTGTTCCGCCCGACTGGGCGTCAGTGGCGCATGAACGAATCCATCCTTACTGACGTGCCTATTGCCGCAGACATCCGTACGGCTCTCACAAACTTCTTCGAAGAAAACGACTCCCCGGACATCCCGGCACTTTCGATTTGGGAAACGCATAAGTGCGTCATTCGGGGACTGCTCATTAAAATATGCTCACACCGGAGCAGGACACAGAAGCAGCGTATAAAGGATCTAACCGCACAAATCACACAACTGGAAAATGACCACAAGACCACCCAGACGGCCGATAACTATAGAGCCCTCCTGAACGCCAGGAAGTCCCTACGGGATATTCTTCACGGGAAGCTACAGTACACCATCCGTAAATCTCAACGCTTCTTCTACGAGTACTCCAACAAGTGTGGCCGTCTTCTTGCCCGGACGCTTCAGAAGAGGCGCCGACTGTGCCACATCACGAAGATCAAGACTAGAGACCAGTCGACCACACAGCTTCCGGATAGAATAATGGGCGCATTTCGCGGATTCTACGAAGAGCTTTATAACCTACCCACAGACCGCTCCGACGATGCCCACCGCCGCAGAGACACAGAGATAGAAGCATACCTCCAAAATCACGTTATAAACACTTTAAGCTGCGAACAGGCGGAGGAGCTGGATGCCCCTCTTACCCTGGAAGAACTCCAACTAGCGCTGAAGGGCGCCAAACTGAACAAGGCCCCGGGCCCGGACGGCTTCCCGGCAAGATATCTCAAGGAATTCGGTGATGTCCTTCTACCTAAATTGCTCACGGGCCTTAATTCCCTCCTGGACGGCGAGGCCCTTCCACGGGACCTCCTAATGGCCACTATCACCGTTATCCTTAAGGAGGGAAAGGACCCATCCAGCTGTGCGAGCTACAGGCCGATATCCCTCCTAAATGCTGACCTAAAGCTCTTCACGAAGGTCATCGCCACGCACATCGGCAGGATCCTACCAGAGCTGGTACACCCAGACCAGGTCGGATTCATCCCGAGAAGAGAAGCTAGGGACAACACTATACGGGCCCTGAATGTCATCCAGGCGGCATGGCAGTCCTCGCAAAAGATCCTACTTCTCTCTACAGATGCAGAGAAGGCCTTCGACAGGGTCGACTGGCGCTTCATGAAGGCAACGTTGAGGGCCATGGGTTTCGGGCCGCAAATGTTGGCGTGGATCTCCTCCCTGTACGTGGACCCGACTGCACATCTCCGGATCAATGGCGCACTATCTGAACCTATCCGGATTCGAAATGGAACACGACAAGGCTGCCCGCTTTCCCCCCTTCTGTTTGCCCTCTCCCTGGAGCCATTCCTGGGGGCGGTCAGGTGGGACGGGGGAATTGGGGGACTCAATGTCTACGGGCAGACGCATAAGGTAGCGGCCTATGCCGACGACATGCTGTTTTTCGTTGCCGATCCATTGGTGTCCTTGCCGAACTTGCTGAAGGCCTTCGCGGAATACGGTAGGGTGTCTAATATGAAGCTGAACACGGATAAGTCAGAGGCACTCCCCATCACCATTAACAAGGAGCTGACCGAACACTTGAAGACCCAATTCGCCTTCACGTGGTGCTTCCATAAAATTAAATACCTGGGAATATGGCTCTCGGCGGACTTAACCCAACTTTACACCCACAACTTCGCCCCGATGCTTCACACTCTGAAAACAGACCTGACACGCTGGGGGAGCCTCTGTGTGTCCTGGTTCGGAAGAATAAATGCTATAAAGATGAACCTCTTGCCCCGCCTCCTTTACCTATTCCAAACCATCCCCATTAACCCGCCTATCTCCTTCTTTAGATGCGTCAAGGCAGCCATCACACAGTTTATATGGTGCTCTAAGACCCCCAGATTGAAGAAAATCCACCTTCACCAACCGAAAGACCGGGGTGGAACCGGCCTCCCTTCTATAAGGGACTACCACAGGGCGACACACCTGCTCAGAGTAGTGGACTGGCACGTGCCCAGGACCGACAAGGCCTGGATCAACCTGGAACGGGCACAATTGGGAGGCGCCCTGCCGGCAGTTGCCTGGCTAGGGGGCCCACTGACTAACTCGCGGACTCGGAACCACCCTCTGATAGGGGCGACACTGCGGACCTGGTACTCCATACGGACGAAGCTCCAGCTGTCCACCACACCGGGACCGCTCACCCCGCTCACACACAACCCGGAACTCGCGGGGAGCCTCACTCCCCGGGATATCGAGGCGTTTGGAGAGGCGGAATGGACGTTCATGCACCAATGGTGTACAGAGGACGCATTAAAGCAACTCCCGGACCTGATACGAGAGGCAGTGCCATCGGGCCTGGACAGGTTCCGGTACTTCCAAGTTAAGACCTACTATCAGTCACACACTGGACGCAGCCTGTTCCATAGACCGACCACGGAACTCGAGGACCTGTGCATGCAACAAACCCATATGACCCGTGGTGTCTCCACCCTCTACAAAATGATCATCACCGCATCCGCCGGGGAACCCATGAAACACATGACACGCTGGGAGGAGGCCGCGGGCATCACACTTTCAGCCCGCATCCTGACCCATCAAAGCGCCATGAGTTCCAAACACCAAGAGCTAAACTATAAACTACTGACTGGCTGGTATAGGACCCCAGCGCGGCTTCACCGGATGATGCCCGAGGTCTCCGAGGTCTGCTGAAGGTGCGGCATGGGGACGGGTACTGACTTGCATATTTGGTGGTCATGCGAAAAGATAGCCACCTACTGGAGGCAAGTCCATGCAAAGATTAAGGACATTATGGATATAGAGCTCCCCTTTCAACCGCTGCAGATGCTCCTTCACCACACTCCCCTACCCTTATCGCGCTATAAAAAATCCCTGACCAGACACCTCTTAAATGCGGCCAAACTCCTTATCCCGATCAGGTGGCGGTCCCCTCAGGTGCCCACTCTTGTCCATTGGATGGACAAAGTGGAGGAGATTCATGGCATGGAACAACTCACGGCCTCTCTCCGGAACACCACGGAACGCTACCTACAGATCTGGACCCCATGGCTCATATTCATCGCTGAGAATCGCACTGCCAGGACACAACCAACGACTGACGCCACCCTCACAGCTGGAGGTGGGACTGCATAGGTCACTCGAGGGCTTCGGACGAACTTGGGAGCCCTAGGGGAGCCACTGTGGTTAGGCGCAGAGAGGGATTGCACCCCGTAGGGGGGAACCTCGAGAAGATCGCATTGTCCTCTACCACCCTTCCCTTATGCCGTCAAGCTTCCCCACTCCCCCTCCCCCCTCTCGTTTACTTCCTGTAACTCCGCTCACTCTGCTTTACCTGCTCTCACACCTCTAGGCCTCCTGTACCAAATACGTCTAGCGCTCGGCGTAAGTGGTACAGTTAAAGCGGGCTAAAGCTGGGCCAACCGAATACCTAGAGTCAGTGCCACCCCATACATCGTTTAACAAGCGACCGATGCCCCCTGATAGACACTCCGTGAGTAGGAGAGAAGTAGGGTACCGTAAGGTGGACATTCAGCTATGAGAGCCCCCTAACCCGGGTGACGCAACACGACGTCAACGACACAAACAGGGTAGAGGCCGACGTCCGACGCATGACGGGGAAACAGCATATCCACGGGAGCCTGGGGATTACTGGGACGAGGAGAACTGAGATCCCCCACGAATACTACATCACTCATGACACTTAGCTCTTAGACCCCCGACAGAAAGCTGACCCCTGGTTACAAACGACCCACTGGGGGAGACATACCGACGAGTGCCGGGTAGGCTTACACATCATAAGGGCTGCAGGCTCGCTAAATACCCAAGCAACAAGGGGACTGCAATGCACATACGTGCCCTCAACCCAGACGTCTAGCTGTTCCACCGTAAGGGTTCACCGCTTTGGGTAGCGCTCACTAACCAGGCTAATATCTGCTAGGTACACCCAATCCAAATTATCACTTAATAATGGGAACAACGCTAACGCACTCGTTTAAAGCGAGCCCAGGCAAAGCGTATGGCCTAAACTTCACTACACGCTCACAGGGAGCTGAGGTGAGTGCCCATGTGCTTCTCACTTGCCCTCGACCGATCTCCCTGTAATCCCCTAAATTTTCACTACTTGAGATTCCTAAGCTCCACATACTGCTGTTCGCTTAGACTACCGAGAAGCACGATTGATACATAGTTACAGAATACCTTCACACAATATCAACCGTTTTACTACCACTACGCTATTCTTCCTAGAAATGTTTCTCTTAACATATACAGAGGCTCAAAGTTACTAAGAATTGTCTTAAAATGTATTGTATTATACCTGTTATGTATGGAACATTGTTGTTTCCCTTCTTCATTTTGTATCCCATACGACTCAATGCCTCAATAAAAAAGAGATTGACAAAAAAAAAATATTAATTAATTGAACGTAAACACAAAACCTGTTTAAGAACCCATTCCAGAAAACTTGAAAAACTTTCAAAATAAAAACAAGAAGTCAAATTGAAAAATAAAATAAAAAATAAAAACAAGAAGCAGAACAACCCATAGGCATACATTTGTCAAAACCTAAAACTGATTTAATGTCGACCTTTGACATAAGGGCATTATGACCACACTTCCTTACCCATTTCAGCGCATCTTCAAAGGAAGTGTAAGACACAGAAATAATTGAATTATCCACCTCATCATTCAATGATGAACCTTTCGGGTAAGACAGATGGTGAATTAATCTATAGGTACCTTTCTCCTTCTTGGGAACTAAACCACGTGGAGACATCCTAAAATAAGAAAAAGGCAGAACTGAAAACGGGCCTTCCACTCTTCCTAAAGCTATTTCTCTATCAATTTTATCTCTAACTATACTAGTATTCAACTTAACTAAACTAAGATTTTCAACCAACTGAACTGATGAACTACAAACAGGAATTCTAAAACCAAATTAAAAAACCTTCTTTAATTAGCCACGCTGTCTGTTGGTTTGGATAGCATTTTAAATAAGGGAGCAGCTTTTGAACTTTTACTGGGGTCCATGCTCTTTGTTCCCTGGCGGTAGCACTCTGCCTCTTAAAGCACCAAAAGGACAGATGACTCCCAGCACAATTAATGCATTCATGTCTGAACCTGCAAGAATTCGGCCATTTACACTGTGACTCATTGAAAGATCAACAAATACCTTTTGGACGTATTTGCAACCCACTCACCTGAGTCTGCCATCTACATTGATTCTAAGGAATCCTGCTTGGTAGCATAATGCTTACCCAAGAACCAACATCCTTCTCAAATTCCTATGCACTGATAATTTCTGACAAAATATTTTGTCATAAATGAACCAAGCCAAACTACGCAAATTTCTGAAAGCCTCTAATATAGCGTCTAGATCAGGGGTCCTCAAACTTTTTAAACAGGGTGCCAGTTCACGGTCCCTCAGACACTGTTGGGGGCCAGACTAAAAAATATGAACGAATTCCTATGCACACTGACACACACACATAATGACATACACACACACATACATACATAAACAGACAGACACAGACATACACACGGACATACATACACACACATACTGAAAATACATACACATATATACAGATACATACACACAGACAGACACATACTGACATACATACTGAAATACATACACATATATACATACTGAAATACATACATATAGCTAATTGCTTACCTTTTTTTGCAGGAGGGTGGCTGTGGCTGATGGGAGTCGGCGTGGCTGCGGCTGCCTGACTCTCTTCCCTCCCGCACAGAGGTAGCTATTTCACGCCCACTGCGCTGAGCGGGTCCCTGAAGATATCGGGCCCATCAAGTGGCCCTGAGTGCTTGGGCTGGGTCCAGGACCCTGGCAGGCTGTAGTTTGAGGACCCCTGGTCTAGATGATGAAAAAGTCCACTAGCTTTATCTGGATGACGTTCACAGTAAACACTAGGAAAAATTAAAAACACCTGAAGTCAATTATTAAAGGAACGGGGTACCGGCCGTTTCCTATAATCATCTCTTTCTTGTCTTAACAAAAATTCTGTGGAGGCTGGCAATAAGGAAAGAATATCGATATATTCATCATTCCATGTTTTCTCTTTAATGCAATTAGATAAATGAAAACCAAGAGGTGAATCTTCACACGCCAAAGCGTCCTTCAAACAAGACTCATTAACAGGCGTACTGCTCTTGTCAGAACAATTAACTAAGCTAACCGATGCAGGTGAATTTTACAACTTGAAACTATCTTGCAACCAAGCCATAGCTGGTCTTCCAGCTTTATCCTGAATAGCCTGAAATAAAACCCCCACAGCCTCTCCCAGCTTAACTTCAGGAGAAACCCCAGAGCAGGAATCACCAGTCGAATTGTTCATTCCCTCCATGGGAGCAGTATGCAAGGTGCCAGCTTGCTCACTGACTTTAACGACCGGTACATGCCCCATTTTAGCAACCTGACATGATTTCTTCTTCCTTTTCCCTGCAGCTCTAGATTTCTTGCTCCCTCTGGTGGATGACGGGGAATAAATCACTCTTGATTTACAAATTCTCTTCTTTTTTACCCTGAAGTAAACTTCTGTCACTCAAACATACAGACATTTGATTCTCCTCATCAGAGTCTTCCCCTTTAGCAGCTTCCTCCTCTTTAGGCTTTATAATATCCAATAAAGAATCCTGTGGGCGTAAATCCATTTGAAAGGAAGGTCGCAGTCAACAGACACTCCACTGCTGAATGCCCTCTTCTTAACTTCCTCAATTAAATGCTCCATAGCTATTCTCACAATAAACTAAAAGAACTTGCTGTAAAGAGAACAAAAGAAAAACAACTCCACCGTTGATTTTTCTTCTTTTTTCTTGGCCCCAAATATCACCTCAGGGTGCCTTATATACCGTTTTTTTCCCCGCTCCAGAGCACCATCGCGGACAAGCGCTCCAATCAGAACACTGTCTGCGCGGACCCCTGTATGGAAAGTTCGTGAGGGCATCGCAACAGCCGTTGCTGAATGCCTTCTCGACTAGAGGCTATGCGTGTCGCATCTTGACCCCTGAATAACCCCGCAACGCACATATTTAGCTCGTTGATTGACTAGGTACATTCTTAAATGATGCAGTTAGGGCATACTTACAATTGTTTGTTACAATTACATTTTGGTTCATTCTCCCAATATATACACATTATATATACACTCCACACACATGTACGCCAAGTCTTACAAATTTTTTAATTTTTTAATAATTCTTTAGTTTTGTTGTGCAAATGATTACAGGAAATCTTGCTATGCCACAGCAGCTAAAGCAAGCACGAAATATTCAAACATAATAAAATATAAGCATGGCATTGAGACAGAAGCACAATTTTAAATGTAAGAAAAATGTAAGAGACATACTAAATAAATACTTTGAGTGGTAGAGAGTAAGAACAAATGCAGAATGGTACCTATAAAAAGGAAATTCAAATTGAAGCTTGTCTATAGTGAGTCGGTACCAGCTTATGCCTACTCACAGAAAAATATAAAAAGAAAAGGAACATGAGAGACATCAGAAAATAACATGCACATATGATTTCACTGTGACATATCTGAGACATGAATAAAGTTATATCTAGATTCCTGGAGAGGACATGCAAAGGCAATATTTGGTTTGAATATATGCATATGTTTTTTTTTTTTTTTTAAATTTATTTTTATTTGCTTTGTCTTCCCCTCTATACGTTGAATGCATTTTTAAAACATGTTTTAGACTGTTGATCATCAAAAAACCACGAACAGTATGACTCTTCCTCTTAGTGTACCTACTCCATTAGGGCACTCCTATGGACTGGAGAGGGAAGAGTTTTGAATTTTTTTTTAAGATCAGTAAGTCAATTTCTTTTTGTTTTTACTTTGTTTAAGTATACACAAAAAATATTTTGGGTATGTTGATTATTGTATAATTTTCTACATTGTACACTTGCTCATTTTCTCATGATGCATACTACTCTTTGTATATTTTCAACTTGTTCACTGACATCCCTAATAAAAATGTATTTAAAAAAAAAAAAAGTGCTAACATTTTTAACTATGTGATTAAAGAAAAAGGTTCAAACCTGCCATTAAAAGATACAAACAATGTCCTGAAGGAGACAGTCTGTGTTCTCTGGCAAATAATGTCCTGAAGGAGGTAGTCGGTACTCTACAACAGTTATCTACAGTCTAAATCAGTTTTTCCCAGTCAGTCCTGTATAGTCCAGGTTTTGTCAGTATCTCAATGTGACATCCAGACGTGATCATCCCAGAAATGCACAATAGGGGGTTATGAACCTGGATCCTTCTGTGTACTGGGCCTGCTGTTTTGCCTCTGAGCCACACTTCAGTTCTTGTTTCAGCCTGATATTTATCCTTGCCTTGTCTCCAGCACTGGGGGCTGGCTTTTTCCTATGGCTACTCCTGTCTATCTAGGTCCACCTGAAGCATATTGCTTATTAGCCAGGTATAAAACACTGCCTCTCTCTGAAGGCAGTGTCCGTTCATTGACTCTGGTTCCTTAATTAACCATAACGGTAACAAACTTCAGGGTTGATTAAATTTTTTTTAAAATTTATAATCTACAACAAAGGATACTTTTTAGACCAATTAAAAATAACAAGCTTAACTTAAAATAAATAAAAATAAAATAAATAAAAATAAAATAGACCAGTCCTTGCACTCAGATAAACCCTGCTATATAAAGCATAATATTGAATGCCGGGTGCTAAAAGCCACAGCCAAAATATACAAACATATTGAAATATAGGCTAGAACTCATGCTCTTGTAGTTAAAAAATTATCTTTATTCGAAACTGAAACATTGAGTTTTTATGGAATAACCGAATAAAGATGATTTTTTAACTACAAGACCGTGAGTGCTAGCCTATATTTCAATATGTGTGTGTGTGTGTGTATATATATATATATATATATATATATATATTCAATAGTGGATCTGTAACACCAACTGTCTAAACACTCATATACTAAAATAATGGGTTTATAGGCGTAGAAAATAAAAAAAATAAAACATTGCAGAAAATTAGCCATGCTCAACTATAAATACTCACCCATAAATACATAACAGATATACACAGACAAACTTTTTCCAATTTTCTATTCATTATTTATGCTTATTTTTAATGCAATATGTAATTAATTAAAATGAGGGTGAACTTCAGCCTGGTGTGACCTTTGAAAGACACAGGTCCTAATTTTGCCCTGATGCCAACACTGCTGTCAGTCCATCCTTGTTTACAAGAACTCTAAGGAAAACACATTTTCCTGGCTAATCATGGCAGCATCACTTATGGGTTAGCTCCACCCTCAGCCGGATCAGGACAGAAAACAATTAAACAATTAACGAGGCTGTAGGCATAAAGGGTTCCTCCTCCCTCCATCCCTCAGTCTTTTTTCTGTCCTCAGTCGGACAACAGGAATTTATTCTGCAGTCAGATTGTATTTTTTGGCCACCTCCCACGTTTACCATGGGCTTACCAGATGAAGTTCAGCCTCTCTTCATCTGAAGAACTCAGTAATCAGGCTGCACGGGCAGAACTGAGTTTGGTGTGTGCAGTTTAGAGACTGTCATACATGAAGATTCTGGACTATGTATTTGGATTTCAGGAAGGCACAATTCAGGAGTTCTTATTTCTTTAATATCCTAAACTGAATTTGGTGCTGTATATATACATATGAGTATATCTGTTTTATAGGGGTCGGTTACCTTAAAAATCCCCTGATGCATGTTCCCCATCTATAATGTGGAGTGGGCTTATTCTCCACAGGAGGCATGGGCTTTTGGAGAAGCTTAGCTGAGTAATCTTCTCTTGTGCTGCTATCAGGCTGCTGACTTTTATAAGTTTGGATTACATCTTACCTGTTATCCTTGTTCTGTAAGCAGGTGCTGTATAAGTTTCTTTTCTTCTGGCAGCTCAGCTATTCAGCAACTAAATGCTCTGCTTCTGATGTCACAAAATGGCGCCTGGGGGCGGTTCCGGCACGCTCATGGGCAATGAAGGGATTTAGGGGCTTTGAAAAAAAAAAAAAATTTTTTTTTTTTGAAGTTTCCGAGTATGCGCAGATCGGCGGGTTTAATGGTACATGGCGCGAAATTCAGACGCTGCTGTACCTTGTTGCTTTGGCGTTTTCTGTGTGAATTGTGCTGCCAGGATCAAATTACTTCTGAGAAGGTAAAAGGATTTCTAATATTCTTTTTCTTAGCAGTCTTGTTTTTTATCTTCTTTAAAAATTCTTCCTTCTTTTCTTATAGCTATGGCTTCTCCCCCAGACATTCTGATAGAAGAAGTAGGTGAGCCAAGATTAGTATTTTTTTTTCTATTAAGGGGAACAAAAAGAGTGCCAAGGGGCCAGTAATATATATATATATATATATATATATATATATATATATATATAGCCTTTATATCATTTCAGCCCCATCATATCGCTGGAATCCTCTCCTAAGAAGCATAAGGACAAGACAAAGAGATGCTTAAATTGTAATGGGATGGCTATGGAGGAAAAGAAGCTGTGCAGGTCCTGTTTGATGGAAGTGGCCAGAGAGAGCAGCAGAAAGGATTCGCCTCAGCAAGAGCTTAAACAGTGGATCTCTCAGGCTATAGCGGAAGGAATTAGATCCTCTTCTGGGAAGGGCCAGCAAGCAAAGCGCTCCAGACAAGAGTCCGGGTCTTCTGAATCTGAAGATAACTCTGATGTCCAGTTTTTCTCTGACGAAGAAGAGGAGGAGATAGATCATTCATCAAGATCGCTGGATTCTAGATCCGTGGAGAAGTGGATTTCACTATTAAGAAATATTTTAAGGATCCCTGAAGATAAAGCAGAGGTGCGTGAATCAGACAGGTATTTTGAAGATCTTAGGTCAAATAGACCTACCTTTCCGGTTCATGCAGCTATCAAAGAAGTAATCTCTCAAGAATGGAGTAGGCCAGAGAGGAAAGCTACTCTGAAGAGTAAAGCTTCTAGGGTATATCCATATTCTCAGGTGGATTCTAAAGCTTGGATGTCCATTCCTAAGATTGATGTGGCTGTTATCCATATGGCCAAAAAGACTACTCTTCCAGTAGATTATTTACGCAAACCCATGGAAAAACGGTTGGATGCGGATTTAATTAAGGCATAACTGGCTCTGGGGTCTGCTTTACTTCCAGCAGTGGCATTGACGACACTTTCTAGAGCCTTAAAGGTTTGGCTACAGAATTTGGAGGAAGATATAGCAGCGGGGGTTCGCAGGGAGCATCTGATTGAAAGTCTGAAAGATTTCCACTTGGCATCAGAATTTTGTTTAGAGGCCCCTCTCCATTTGGCAAGATGCATGGCTCTGACGGTAGCATCCAGACGGCCGTTGTGGCTACACGCTTGGGGTGCGGACTATGCATCAAAAGCATCTTTATGTGCTCTTCCCTTTCAAGGCGATCTACT